AACTGTTGAAGAAGTTGACCACGCGGTCGGTGTCGGTGCTCATCAGGTTCACCACCTCTCCCAGCGTGAAGCCGGCCAGGCTGCAGCTGCTGACCTGCAGCGCTTTGCCGTAGATCGCCGACACCAGCGAAGCCCGTGCTGACAGGGAGATCTTGGATATCTGAAAGACGTAGATGTTGCGGAGGACTGAACTTAGGAGTGTTGTGGCAAACAGGCCCAGCACACAGATGACTCCTTTACTGAAGGGGGCGCCCTTCTCCTCTATAAAGCTCACTAGACTGCTGAGAAGCAGGGGACCTGCAAACGAAGATATGTTTACCGTCACCTTGAGCACACCCAGGATGTAGTACCGCAACCCAAATGCTTTGTGCAACACTCTCAGTAATCTTACATCCCCCTCCAGTTCCAGCAGCCCCTCCCTACAGTCTGATCCTTTCACGCTGCTGACCGGTCTGGGCCACTGATCCTGCTGGCCGCTCATTCCTGCCCCACTACCACATGCCTCCCAACAGCGGTGGAAGTATCTCCAAACAACGGCGGTCCGAAGTTTCCAGGGAAGGTGGTACACGTGCTGCGGTCTCTCCAGGTCTCCTCGCTGCCCTCGTCTGAGTAACGGATTCAGCCACAGGTAGAAGAGCCGAGACACGCAGCTGCTTCCGTCCTCCGCTACCATCTCACCCGTGTCGGGCTCAGTGCTCTCTGGAAGGAGAGGGGATCCGTCTGCAGCGTTTATATGCAAGGTGTAATCAGCACGGTCCATACAGGGGAAGGCAAATCCGAGAAGGTAAAGGAGTAAAAGGAAGGCCCGGGCTGAGGTGAGGACAAACCTGGCCAGTTTAAGAGGTTCTGTTGGGCTTAGATATCCCCTGCTGTTGCAGTAGATCATCAAGGTGATGACTATATTGGGCACTAAAAGAAGCATCACAGCGAGAAGCAGCGGCGGTCCTCTGGTTCTCCTAACACTAGTTCTAAGAATCACTCCGATTGTGCCGCAGTGGACCAGCCAGGCCAGGAGGGCCCAGCTGTCAGCTAGGATGTCCAGATACATGTCCGCCTGCTGCAGGACGCCCACCAAGACGATGTCTGCAGTAAAGAACAGCACAGCCAGCACAGCTGAGGACAGTCGGAGCGTCCAGCCGCATGGAGCAGATGTCTGAAGGATGCTGATTCTGAAATAGAAAGAAATCAAATATCAAAATTCTAACTAGATATAGAGTCAGAAAAGATGCTTGACCTTCAACTGGAAATAAATCTGAGGCAGTCCCGGCCCAATCACCTGTAACCCAACCTAGCGTGATTGGATTAGACAAGCCCTTTTGACCAACATCTCATTTGAAATTTCCTGCAGTTTGTGGTGATGAAGCGTTCTCACGTTCTGTGGCGCTGGCTTGGTTTGCTAGATGGCAGTGGCAGCATTATGTGGAAGAGACTGGTCATATTTTGTGCTTTGTTTGTCCAAAAGCAATCAAAAAAAAAGTCATATATGTAAATTTAAGAAAGACAACCCCTTTGTGAATGTTGGCTTTTTAAATTGGCATAAAGCCATTGCAAATTTTTAATTGTAAAGTTTAACTAATAGCGCATATATTGACCTGAGAACTGATTAATGTGAACAATGATGTCTGTGGGTTACAGACCCTGTTTTTGGGTCGTGCGTACTGAGCAATGCGCCACCTGCACGCCCGGTTAGACCCTGTTTGCATGCACTAAATTGTATATGACAATAAAGTAGTGAATATCGATCTATTTATGAATTTTTATTCATTGTATTTTAAATAGGACTATAGGCTCTTGGATGTTTTGGTCCAAAAAAAAAGCAAAAAAATATTCACAGCAACCCCTGTTCCAAATTACTTCCAGCGGCCCTGGATGCCTGGTCCTTCTTTAAGAAGCTCTTCTGTCCTCCTATCGTTACCTGTATTAATGGCACCTGTTTGATCTGTGTAAAAGACACCTGTCAACAGCCTCAAACATCCATCCATCAATTATCTGACACGCTTGTCCCAGTTGGGGTGGCGAGGGGTGTTGGTGCCTATCTCCAGCTGTCAATGGGCGAGAGACGGGGTCCACCCTGGACAGATCACCAGTCCATCGCAGGGCAACACAGAGACAAACTGGACAAACAACCATCCACGCACACATTCACACCTAAGGAGAATTTAGAGAAGCCAATTAACCTAAGAGTCATGTTTTTGGACTGTGGGAGGAAGCCGGAGTACCCGGAGAGAACCCACGCTCAGGGAGAACATGCAAACTCCATGTCGCACAGAGCCCGGGCCGGGAACAGAACCTTGAACGTTCTTGCTGTAAGGCAGCAGTGCTACCCACTGCGCCACTGAGCAGCCTCCAGCTTCAAACAGTCCAAACTCAACCATGACCAAAACCAAAGAGATCCTGAAGGAAACCAGGAAGTTTATGCCTGCTCCAGGCTGGGAGGAGAATCTACAACAGGTAGGAAGGATGGTGAATAAATCATCTGTGGGAGCGATTGGAAGAAAATGGAAGAAATACAAGACTGCTAGTGAAAATGAGCAGGAGAAGAGGGAATAATAATCCCAGAAGTACACAGACGGACCTGAATAATGACCTACAAAGATCCGAAGAAGGAGCAACGGTCACCATCAGTAACGCTCTACCACCGGAAGGACTCAGATCCTGCTGTACCAGCCGTGTCCCTCTGCTGAACGCAGTACATGTCCAGGCCCGTCTTACATTTGTCAGAAAATATACGGATGATCCAGAACAGGGGTCACCAACCTTTTTAAGGCTGAGGGCCACTTCAAGGGTAATGAGTCATAGGAAGGGCTACCAATACTGACCCATGCTCAGCAAGGGTCAGTGTTCACCTAAACTTCATTATACATTATAAACATTTTTATTGTTTCCTTTAAGTTCTAATTGTATTTAGTCAATTGTACATTGTAATTTTGAAAGGATCTATAAATTATTTTAAAAAAAATGAGAGAAACAGAATAGAATAAAATTTCAAACTTAGCCCACTGGTGAATTGTTCTTTTCTTAGAAGTCTGAGGGCACCCCATGTGGTCCATGAGGGGCCCCTTGGTGCCCGCGGGCACCACGTTGGTCACCCCTGATCCAGAAGAAGATTGGAATAAGATAATGTGGGCAGACGAAACCTAAATAGAACTTTTTGGCACTAACTCAACTCATCATGTTTCGGGGAAGAAGAACGTTGAGCTGCATCTCAAGAAGAGCAGGTCTACTTCAAAGCTTGGGGGTGGACCCATCATGCTTTGCACTGGGTTTTATCAAAAGGGACATGAAAACTGATCTGAGTTAACGATAGAATGAAATGGGACATGCATGTTGTGATTATAAATCGAAAACCTACTTCTATAAGTGAGTGTTGAAGATGGAACATGGCTGCAGGACAATCGTCCAAACACACCAAATTAGCGGCTCTTAAAAGCATTTCGAGGACCCGGAGTGGCCTACCCAGTTTCCAGACATCATCCTCAAAGAAAATTAGTGGAGGGACTTAAAAGTCTGTGTTTCCAAGAAAAATAAATCCTCAAATATCACTGCTGGAGGAGATCTGATGAAGGAATGGATCAAAATACCAGCTATAATGTGAGCAACCCTGGAGAAGACTAACAGGAAATGTTAATCTAACCCCTATCACTGCAAACAAAAGGGAATGCAACAAAGTATCGAGTTGACTTTTGAATCCCTTTTTCTTTTTTTAATCTCTTTACTCCTGATTAAAATGAACCAATAGTGAAAATTACAGACTTCTCTTACTTTGAACAATCAGTGGCTTAATAAAGACTTTTTTGTCAAACTTTATATCATAGAGTGAAATCTAGCACCATAAGAGCTTCATAGTAACCTGCGTCTGCTGATGAATCCTTCATTCAAACCATATGCATGAATGCTAAATATAATCACAACCAGGAAGCTCTGATCTATCTCAGTACTGACCTAGCTAAGCTCAGGTAGCAGGCGCTGAAAACCGCCATCCCAGCATGGGGCAGGGCTCCGAGGACCAGCTGGTTGAAGCAGGGACTGACGTTTCCATCCTGCCACAGGGGGAAAGGATCGTCCTCTGGTGTGTGACACAGACCTGAGACCAGCTCAGGGAGCCAGGAGTGACTCATCCCGTCCACCTGGACCTCCGCCACTCTAGACAATATCTGTAGAAAGACAAAGCATACATTTCTGATCTAAAATCAGAGGTATAGAACAGCTGGGAAATAAAAATAAAAGTCCTGCTTATTAATAATCAGTAAAGTGTCACAAAACAGTTCACAAAGGTTTAAGATGCAGAAGCAACTCCTTCGCTGATAATATTACATGAAAGGCGAATTCAGTTTAAAAGTAAAACTTATACTTCATAGATCGCTTACAAACATATCTAAATTATTCCTTTTGCATCTGATTGGTCCCGGTGTTGGAACAAAACCTGTGACCCGTCATATATTGTGATTCAAGTGCCTGCTGTGGTAGAATCGCCTCAGCAATCTACTAACCATAACACCACAGGACCCGTAGCTAAACCTAAAGAAGTCTTTGGTTAAATACACGTAGCGACTCCTTAGGTCTAAATATGACAGGTCACAGATTTTTTTATAACACCATCAATACAAGATACTATTAAAGAAGATGACTTAATCACCATTTTATCACTACCCCAGTAACATTTCTGTTTGAATCACTTATTGAGATACTGATTTTCTTGTTAACTGAAATCCATAATTACCTAAACACTTTTAATGTACAGTGATTTTATTGTATGAGTTTCAATTTTCTAATTAAATTGAGTGACCTTTTAAATAATATTGTAATTTATTGAAACTGACCTATATAATGCTCATTCATTTGAGATCAGTTTTTTATTTGTTTTAAACCAAGAAATTCCACTTAATGAGTCCTAATATGAAGATTTAAACATCGAAATTTCGTTTTGTGCAGCTTTCATGACATTTCCATTCCATAAAGTGCAGCAGTGATCAAATGAAAACAGTGTGGGGGGAAAAAACATGGTGCAAAAAAGACAAAACAAAAACGCATTGATATGGAATTTAAGAGCATTAATATATATATGTGGTGCAATAATGCAGTGTTTTGGTTTGGTGTTCAGTGTGGTGCAAGGGTGTAACTTAGTGGTGAAACTCTAAGGGTGATGGCTGACGGACCTACAGTGACTAAATCACTTTCATTACGATTTGTATTTTCCAAAATTTAGCTCAAACATTTATATTCATTGACTGCTTTCCTATTGTGGAGAAAATAAAAGAACCAAAGTACCCTGATATTTATATCTATGGTAGTTAGACATTAATAAATAATAAAAAGAATGAATAACAGCCAATTCTCATGCCAACAGCAAAATATAATATAAATATAATATATAAACAATTTCAGTTTCATTCATCCATCCATCAATCCATCTAGAAAAATGGGGAATAATTGATGTTTTCCCTTTCAGCAACATCAGTGATTATCCTCCTTCAAAAGCAGCAAAATTTAATTTAGAAATTTGTCCCACATATTGCTGAGAGCCAAAGTCTATAAATGGATATTTCTAACAACATAGCACAGTTTAAACGTTTTAAAATGTTGAAATAATACTGGTTTACTGAGAAAACTGAGAGCATATAAGTCATTTAGCATCCTCGTGTATGTATACATGACTTTAAGTGAACAATAGACAACCTGACAGAAAAAAGTTAAAACCAGACAATTAAAAATTGATTAAACTAAAAGGGAAAAAAAATCCCTGGATAAACTGAGAAATTTACTTATTCACTAAGTTCAATTAGCGTCAACCAAACAACAGCTAAGCAAGAGCAAAATAAAACTAAACAGTGAAAAATCTGATAGACAGTCGAAGCAAAGGAACCGGTGTTTTGGTTCCACCTGTTGTTGTGGAAAACTGCGACTACATCCGGGTTTCGTCGGTAGTAGTTTCCAGGTTCTTTAAAAACTCTTTGACTGGTATGACTGCTGCTGCGTGCGGATGATATCATTATATTATATTTATCATATTTTACACATTATAAATCCTCTGCGTCCATGGTAACCACGGTCTCCGTCAAAAATGACCAGAACAGCTGCTGGAATCAGGAAGGGACCACACATAGCTGCCCTCGTTATTGCCTTTTAAAATAAAATGGAAATGCCAGGTTTGTATTTATTTTTTCCATCCTTTTTTTTATTTTATTTGACGTTTGGTTTTTGACGGTTTTACGTTTTTACAACGACTACGGTTGCGTATTTTTTAAATTGCTCAAAAAGTGAAAGAAAGATGTCGGCACACCACAGGCCTACATAAGATACTATTCTAATCAGGATGTAAATAAAGATACCCTGTCCAATCCCAAACCTCATTCTAATCTCACGCAACAGGAAAGGAAAGGCTAGCATATCTTAGCCAGGACCAAAGCTTCACCATATTACCAGCAGATAAAGGAAGATACACCGTCATCCTAAACACTTCGGACTACCAGGACACAATTTTGACTCTGAGTGACACCAACACCTATGAGTCTTTGAAAAGAAATCCAACTAACAACGGGAACTACAAAAAGAAAATCACGGACTACCTCAAACAACTACAAAAAGACAAGGGACCATTCAGTTTATTTGAGATTACATCTAGGGGAAGACATTCTATGCTTAAATGGACTCCCCCAAAAAAAATCACAAGCGAGGAACACCACTCAGCCCATTATCAGCAGCGCCCCCCCGTGTGAAACACATCACATAAAAAACTCCAAAGACTGCTAACAAAGTCAAACATTTAAAGATGGCGACAGGAGAAACCCCGGTGTCTTTATATGTTCTCTTTTTCAATTTCAATTCAGTTTATTTCTATAGCGCCAATTCACAGCATGTCATCTCAAGGCACTTTACAGGTCACCAGATCTTACAGTCAAATTGATTTAAAGTTTTCTATCTAAGGAAAACCAGCTGATTGCATCGACTCATTGACTTGGATGAAATCCCTCTCACTAACATGCTTGTAGTGACAGTGGAGAGGAACAACTCCTTTTAAACAGGAAGAAACCTCCAGCAGAACCATCTGCCGAGGCCGACTTTGGTTCAAGGAGACAGAAGCAGAGATAGAAAAAGCAGCTGTAAAAGGTGGCCCTGTCCAGGAAACACACAGCCAGGCTGATGAGCACCGAGCCAGCTCCCATGCCGGAGGACGAAGAGAGCACATCCAGCCAGTCACAGTCAGAGAAACAGGCAAATCTCCAGCATCTATAAACAAGGGTGTTGATGGCAGCAGCACAGCTGATATTTCTCTCCAGGATGGAGTCACAGCCAAACAGGAACAGACGAGGTGAAGCCACGATGAGAAAAGGCAGAGAGAGCAGAACGTTGGAGATTGAACTAACAGATTCTGCAGAGTGGAAGAATACAGATAGAATGAAGCCGAATAATGAAATAGGGGTCCCTATGTCCTCCAAAAGTCTAAGCCTATAGCAGCATAACTATAGAGATAGCTCAGAATAACCTGAGCCACTCTAACTGTAAGCTTTATCAAAAAGGAAAGTTTTAAGCCTAGTCTTAAAATTAGACAGGGTGTCTGCCTCACGGACTTAAACTGGTAGGTAGTTCCACAGGAGAGGAGCCTGATGACTAAAAGGTCTGCCTCCCATTCTATTTTTAGAAATTCTAGGAACCATTAGTAAACCTGCAGATTGAGAGCGAAGTGCTCCGTTAGGAACATAAGGAACAATCAGATCTCTGATAACAAGACCCTTAGACAGAGACTAGTGCATCCTCTAGAAAAAACCCCAGACCAAATATGAGCAGAGTGGTGTATGCAGTGAGGAATTCTCTGATCTTTACATTGGAGAAACCAAACAACCTCTCCAAGCGCATGGCTCAAAACAGGCAGGCTACCTCCTCCGGACAAGACTCTGCAGTACATTTACACCTCACAAAGTTAAAAACCAAACCAATGGACATGTTTCCAAGTCTGAAGACATTTAGCTTCCTGGATCGGAAGGGAAATGTCTTTGAACTTGGAAACCAAGTCCAGTGGATTTAAAAAAAAAAAGTTTTTTAGAATGACTATTGACCTGGAAAATAAAAGGGCACTGTAGGTGCAGTGTCTACTGATATAAGGTGTTCTGAGCCAGTGCGTCCTGTGTGGGCTGAGAATGCCATGAGGATTTCACCAAGGTTCCATTATGAGCCCATTACAAAAGAAGCTTGTGAATTTTCAGATTCATTAAACAACCTCCCAAACATCAGTATGGCTGATTTAACCTTGCAGTAGATACACACATGATCAGTAATGCCTAATATGGCTACTTTAGTTTTTAATCAGTTGGTAATCAATGAAAATTCTTATTAACAAAGCTGATTAAGTAAATACAAACTCAGCCTTGATCCCTACTGTTGATTAATTCAATTCAATTCAGTTTATTTATATAGCGTCAATTCACAGCACATGTCACCTCAATGCACTTTACAGTTCAACCAGATCATAAAGTCAAATTGATTTAAAGTTTTCTATCTAAGGAAAANGGGCCAGAGAAGAAACCAAAGTGTAATCACTGGTTGGAGCACTTTTATTGAGGAGGTGACCATAGAAAAGGAGCAAATATGTGTTAGCACCTTTAATATAGACGGTTATTTGCTGGTTCTTTGTATTCTCCTGACAAACATACAAAGAGGCTAAAGAACAGGAAGTGAGGTTTGAAGAATTCGTTCATTTACAGAAATTGAGAACCAGCAGTATCAGAATTTTGGAAATAACAAAACCAAAAAAGATGAAAACGGCAATAATTTTACAAAATCAAGAACCTAAGCGGTTCAATCAGTGCTCATAACATTATGCAACGTAAGGTAGAAACACAAAGCAAGTTTTTACAAATGTTAACCAGAATCAGACAGAAAAGAACAGTTAAATACTGGGCGCAGCTGTCTAAGGCATCTCTGTCAGTTAAAAAAAAAAAAAATCCAAACATTTAATACAAAGCAGGAATGAATCTATACAATATTTCTATATATATATATATATATATATTTATTTATTTATATATATATATATTTTAACTTACAAACTGTACAAGGTTTCTTCCTTCCAGGCGGACCGAGGCCAGCCAATACCTACGTAACTTTTTTTTTAATATCCTACATTTACTGATTCCAACAAATAAAACACAGTATTTACAAATTCATGAAAAACATAAATATAGATCTTTTTTTTCCACCCATGTCGCCTGAATGTATTCTGATTTTTTTCTTTCAATATTACCCCAAAAGTCGGCCACTGAAACGACAAAGTCTGTCCCCCATGTGAAACACAGAGCTTCCTGCAGCATAAACCTTCTACTGGGACTTCTTTATTCTCTTTATTAATTAGCAAGGTAAATCCATCCGTCAACGTTTTAAAAATTCTGCTATGTTAAACATTTGATCCTTACTGGCATCCATTGAACCAAAGGTTTGTAAACCATATCCTATCATTAAAACTGGACAGCGTGTGTTCAAAGATAAAAGCCAAAAATAAATAAAACTATGGTAGATCGGAAACAAGCAAAACAAAAACTCAGACTATTGTCTTAGCATTCCGTGACTGGATTGTCAATTAATAAGTTTATATTTGTTAACAGCAACATAGACGATAAAACGGGTCGTAGGTGCCGGTCTTTCTACCTCTTCTGTCTTATTTCTAGGTCGTTTTTTAAAAGTTTTGTTCCAAAAACGCTTCAGTTTGTTCCCACTTTGGAGCCTGAAGTTTAAACGTTCTGTATTCTTCAGATAGGCTGTTTAAGGAAGCAAATGCTGGATTAATAATCCGATAATTGATACTAAAATGAGATGATTCTGTTTTGTGAATAAGGAGTCACAACATAAGGGCCAACAGGTCCGACTCTGATGAGAAACAAAATAAATATATATATTATGACATTTTTAAAAAGTGGCATAACAGGGATGAGTGAAGGGGTGGGAGCTGGATTAGGGAAAAGAGCGAATCGGCCTGCAGCCGCCTATCCTTAACTAACACTGGCAGATTTTCTTGCCTGTGGTCTAAAAATGTTTGTTAAAAGATAAAAATGAAGGACGTTAACATTCACACAACTGACCAAAAATAAAAGGAAATAATTGCGGGATTTCATCGTACCAAGTGTAACGAAACCCGAGTATCGTAACCGTACCTGGATCCTTGTTTCAATCCCACATTGGGGAATAAATAAAAAAAAATATTAAAATAAATTGGTTTAAACACTTTCTCTTAAAGGTCATTGTTAATATATTCAATAAAAGCAGAAAATGAGTGGGTGTGGTCCTCCTTTTTAATGCTTTTTTCTTTGAATCAGCCCTGTAAAAAAAAAACTGCTTTTCATACATAAAGCTCTACTTGGTCTATTTCTAGTGACCAATGTTAAAATTCTAGAGGCATATTTTATTTCGGGGCAGTGTTTTAATCAATGTCCCCCATTGGTGTTTTGGTCATTAAATGGTTCCCAGTAAGGATGAATGGTTGAGAATTGTTGGAGCTATTTCATTCTATCTTATCCCGTATTAACCTTGTTTATTCTTTGTATTTTTAGTAAACTCTTATGAAAGTATTCCTTTGCAGGTGCCAGAATGCATCTTACTCCCCACAACTTCCTTTACAGTTCCAGCATGATTTAATGTAACTATGGACTCCCTTTTTTCCAATAAAGAGCGGGGAAGACAGCAGAAGTGCATCAGAGAGGTGGGAGATTTACCCGATGATGCTCTCCTCGCAAGTAAAAAGAATCTTAACGTCTCTTGTCCTTCTTCCCCAGGTTATTTGATGTGTTTGTGTGTTAAAACCTAAAAAGGATCCATATCTAAAGCCACACCTTCCCACATTCAAACTGACTTTTTTTTTCAAACCAACAGAAAAAATAAATACATCTGTAAACAACTAAAACTGACAAAAGTAACGTTGTGAGTTTCAGCCTGCAGTCGTCCTGGTCGCATTTCTGAGTAGAAAAACCGCACGATCGTCCTGAAGGAGTGAGAGGGGGAAAATCTGGGGCTTCATCTGGAAAATGTTTCCCTGGTTTTTAAGTCGTTCGCACCTCCTGTGTCTAATGACTGTTTTCTGTAGAAAAGCTGTGGGTGTTTCAGTGAAAAAGGAAAACCTCTCAGAGTGGGCTCATAAGTTCTTGGTGTTTATGTGAGTTTTGTAATGCTTTGTCAGGTGGTCGCTCCTCATGAAGCGCTTCTTACACTGATTGCACTCGAAGCGTTTGTCTCCTGTAAAAAAACAAACAAAAAAAACAACAGAAAACGAGGATCAGCATATGAGCATCCAAAAGTAACACAACACATCAACACTGCAGAAACGATCTAGAAATAGGTTAAAATGTCTTAAATTAAGTGTGTTTATCCTTATTTTAAGTAGGTAAATTAGATAGTTTGCCAATGGAATGAGTATTTTTACTCTTAAAATAAGATAATTAGATAAAATGCACTTGAAATAACAAAATGCAATTGTGTTTTCTTATTTTAAATGAAAATTGTCTTGTTCCATTGGCAAAAAGTCTCTTTTACCTCCTCAATTCAAGAATAAATGCAATTATTTAAAGAAAAAATTACTTATCTAGATTTCCATTTTTTCCAGAATATTATCATACACTGGAAAAACGATCTAGAAATAAGTAAAAATGTCTTAAATTAAGTGTATTTCCTCTTCATTTGAGTAGGTAAATGAGATAGTCTGCCAATGGAATGAGTATTTTTACTCTGATAAATAAGATAATTAGATAATATGCACTTGAAATTAAACAATGCTATTCTGTTTTCTTATTCTAAGTGTAAATTGCCTTGTTCCATTTGCAAGATGTCTCTTTTACTACCTTAATCCAAGGGCAAATGCACTTATTTTAAGAAAAAAATGACTCGTCTAGATTTTGATTTTTTCCAGTGTAAGTGATTATTCTAAAAGCAAAACTGAATTTATTTGGAAAGGATTCCGACGCAGAACTCAGATGCCTCTCATTAGTTGATGTAGGGAAAGGGGAAATATAGCTGCTTGAGTTACTAAAAGTACTGATAATCTGAAAAGAATTAATACTCAAATGCTTAATCCAGATACATAAGTAATACGGTCAGGTATCCGTTAAATACAAGTGTTTGCATATTTTTGCTTTTTTTTTTTTCCCCATCTCAGATTTCTAGATTATTTGCCCGATAAAATACCTAATAATAAACCTAAAACAACCCAAAAAATATTGTAAAAATATTTACCCAATAGAAGCTCGAGGTTGGGATTAAAAAAGATGAGTTATGGTATCAAATATCTTCCTGGGAATTGATTCGTTTAGTATCGATACCATTACCAGTATCGGGCGGGGCCCCGATCCAGCACTAAAATGTTGGTATCGGTATCGGCGAGTACCAACAAATAGAGCACCGATACCATTTTTAGAGCCAAAAGTTTATTCATTTATTGTCACCCATTCCAGGTAGGCAATAAAAAGTTCTACTGGATTCACTTGGTATTAGTTTTTTTCCTGCCTCACAAAGGTAGGCAGCAGCTTGACAAAGCCATGATGGCAATTATTTTACATCCAAGCAGTTTGCAGTTCTTCATTTATACAACCACACTTCAAACAGCATTACAACCTTAGTTATTAGCCATGTAGAAAAAGTCATCAAACTCCTTTTTACATATTGTCAGCATGGTTAAGTTACTTAGAATCTAGCGAGAAGCGTCAGGAGTTTTGTTCCATGAATGTTGCAAAAAAAAAAAAAGAACATGTTTTGAAAGTAGAAATTTGAAAAAAAAAAAAAGAAAATGCAACCAAAAATTAACTTAGAATTGTTTTAATCAGAAAAAAATAGCGTGACATAAGTTTTTTTTTCAAGAGGGGGAGCTGCCCTGTCCGAAGGTTAGGTCAATCAGAAAGGGATGTTTTGTTTTTTTAAAGTGAATTATTTGCATTTTTTTTCCATAAGTCTCTACTACTCATAAAATAACCTTTGGTATTTAAAAAAAAAATCTTTAGAACGTGCATTTTTTTAACAGATTACTCTACCGGTATTAATGGTTGGAAAAATCCATTACCTAAATACTGGGTTGTACAGCTCTGAATATTTTCCCTCTGCCTCCATGCTCACCTACATGTTAATCACTTAGGATGAAATATTAACATTAGAGCTTCCAATTGACTGACTAAATGCTATTTTACTTTTTATATTTTATATCCATACTTTTATCTTAAGTGTATATATTAGTCTATTTTATTGCATGCATTATACCCACAGTTTTTAGATATTTTTATAATTTTATTTACCTATTCCATATTATATGTTTCATGTTGCACGATTGTACCACAAAAAATTCCTAGTTTGTGAACTCCTTCACTAACAATGGCAATAAACCTGATTCTGATTCTGAAAATGACTAAAATCAACGTGTACAGATCTGTAACCTCTCTGGGCTCAGGTTCTCCATCTTTTTATGATCCGTCTTAAAGCCGCTGCAGCAGCAGGCCTCTGTAGGCGGTCAGATTTTTATCACAACACATGAACTCACTGAAGTAAGAAAGAAAATTCCCCCCTGCCTGTTCAAAGCTGAGAATTGTGTCTACCGCTATCATTTGATCTGTTTTCTATCAACTTGTGTTTTTTAACCGTTTATGTATTTTATTATCTCTCCCCTCACCTGTGTGCGTCCTGGCATGCCTCTGCAGCTCGTCGCTGCGTGTGAAACGTTTCCCGCAGAAAACCCAGTTGCAGACAAAGGGCCTCTCCCCGGTGTGCAAGCGGACGTGTGCTCTGAGCAGCGATGTTTTCCTGAACGTCTTCTCGCAGCCTGCAACATGGCAGATGTGTCTCCTCTTCCCCACCTCCCCGGGCCTGAAAGCAAACGTTAGAAAACATCAGGTGACATTCAGGGTTAATGGAAACAGGCTGCAGGTGACATTTAGATTCGATACAAATAGTTCAAATAATTCCATCAATTCTGGCTACTGTCATTAGACAGAAGCAGTAGAACCATCGCCACTTTTAAGGCGTAGACCAGTATCGGGTATTGCAGGCTTACAAAGACCTCAACGACCCCCATTCCTAAGGGATGGACCTGTTCATACGGTTCAATTTGAGTGTTTTCTACGCCATAACAAGGTGTCGTTTGGGCTACTCTATAAAGCTTGGAACTCAACGCTAATCCAGACATTTTGAATTGAAAAACCTTCCTGGATGGGAAGCACAATGTCTTCAAACTTAGAAAGCAAAGTCCAGTGGATTGCTTTTTAACTTTTTTGGAATGACTAAGAATCTTCACCAGCACATTGCCACTTTTAAATTAAAGTGGAACGCCGTTTTTTTTAACATCTGGCCCCTTGATTTTACGTTATTACATCATGTTCTACTCACCCATATAAGTTTTTCTGTCATTTGGAGCTATTCTGAAGATATTCAAGTAACGTCTTCCTATGGGCGATCGACTTGAAGGCACAAACTAAACTGTTCATAATGTATTCTTTATGGTGTGCTAGCATTCATGACATGTAGGCGAATCACTGTCCCCAGACATCCGTGGTTATATTTTTTATATTTATATGTTTAAAAACCAAGCGGCGCGTGTATGACGTCATCCACGCATGCGCACTGGAGTCGTAACATGCAGCCCGGGCCACAGGCAGCTACGCTCTACCCCTTCTATTTATTCGGCTAGCTAATCTGAATCTTTCAATTCCATTTCGAGAGCGAGATCATCTGTGGTAGCAGCACTAGACATCTTGAGGGTTCGTACACCTTTTCCAAAGTCAAAATCAAGCACTTTTCAAGCACTTTCAAGATCCATTTTAAAACTTTTTCCAGACCCTTACACCACCATAAATTACATAGCAATACATAGTGAAAATTATTACTCGGATGATCAAAGAAACTTACTCCTCTGCCATGGCGTAGTGATATAACCAACCAGAGGGTGTCGCAATTCAGTATTATCAGCCGTAGAGTTATCAATGCTGTTTTAAGGTCTGGGCCTGCCAATGAATTAAAACTTCGTTTTTTTTTTTGGAACGTTGG